CGACTCACCGATGGTGGTGATGCCGGTGAGTCGCCAACAATGCAAACCACGCCGTGGAGGGAGCAAGCGACTCACCGATGGTGGTGATGACGGTGAGCGAGTAGAGGAAGGCGCCGGGGAAGGACCACTGCTGCGGCACCTTGCTGTGCTCGGTGCCGTCGAAGCCGTCCATGATGGCCTCCACCACCTTCTCCTGGTAGAGCAGCATCTCGTGCGACACGTTGGCCACCCAGAGCGCGCGCGACAGCGTGTTGAGGCGCAGGGTGAGCTGCCACAGGCGCGCCGCCGTCTCGTTGCGCAGACGCACCACGCGCTGGCCCGTGTCGTCATCCTGCGAGCCCTCGATCGCCTGCAACAAACGAGCCACACACTTGCACCAACAGCTTCAAGCGCAAGGAGTTTCTAAGGAATGACTTTCAAAATTGATATTCGTAGTTCCGAACTATGACTTGGATATAACGACACCAAACGCAGAGTTGGAAATTCGCTCTTAATCGTCACGAATTTTAACAGTAGCTCTCCGAAATTCTCCTCCGAGCTCTCGATCGCTTGCAATAGACAAGGAAAAAACCACGAAACTTCCACAAACACCCTAACGCAAGGAGCTTCTGTGTATTGGCCGTCAAAATGAATGTTCGTAGTACATTACTATTACATCAACTTGACACCAAACACACGAATGAAAATCGCTAATCTTAACGTCTGGTGTCCGTTAAAAATTTTAATGGACTCCTTCCAAACTTCACTTCCGACCCTCCAATCGCCTGCAATGGGCAAGCAACGATGTAACTTTCAATAACAGCGTGACACAAGGAGCTTCTAAGTAATGATCGTCTAAATGAATTTTCGTAGTACTTTACTACATAACAAACAGATGAAAATTCTCTTTTAACGGCTGGCGTCATAAGAATTTTAACAGTCGCCCTCCGAAACCTTGGTGCGAGACCTCGATTGAATTGAATTATTGAATTAATGCTTTTTTTACGAGACTCGAGCCATCAGGCCCTCTCTTCCATCTGACCACGCAAATTTCGCTACGCTTCTTTCACCAACTAGCGAAGAAAGGAGGTATTTCTTGGGCGACGAACAGGCGATTTGAATTTTGCTCAGAGGCGTCATTTGAGCTTGAGGATCTTTTACATACAAGTAAATCTACTACCATGGGACAGCCGGCTTTACTTCCCCTCCGAAGGAAGGCGTACGAAGGATTTTCTCTCGATCGCCTGAAAGGGGCAAGCAACCAAGTAACGACTACTAACAGCTATACGTAAGGATCTTCTACGAATTGATCCACATGAATTTTCAAAGAACTTTACTATTACACTGACATGGCACCAAACTCAGGGATGAAAATTCCCTCTTAACAGTTGACGTGCGTAACAACTTTCACTGTCACCCTCCAAAATTTTGCACTATATCTGCGTTTTTCAACCATCTATCATCAGGTTTTTCCCATCTCGAACAGGTTTTCCGTCCAGTTTCTTTGATCGTTTGAGAAACTTCTGGGATCGCCCCCTAGTTTTCCTTCTGGTCATTTATCACTTCTTACAATATTTGTCATAAAAGAAAGTGATATTGTAAAGTATTGAATGAATCACGACCAATAATAACTAAAAACTAATAATGGACTTGAGTTGCTGAATATCATTCGAATGACATTAATAACTACAATAGACTAACAAAGGATAGAGTTTGTTAGTATGAAATATAAGAAGGCCATTGAAGATACATCATTGATAAAATTATATGAACAATACAATAACTACATGACATGAAGGCTGTTTCAGGTTCCACACAATCAGCATTCGGTAGGTAGTTAGTAATCGCTCACCTAACCCAGAGTAGTGCAGACAGGCAGCTTGCTATTTGCCGTTTCTCGCCGCATACCAAATGTGAGTAAGCGCCTTGATGTCTGACAGTACGAGCTTAGAATGCATCCTGAAGAATGCTGAGATGCCAAAGTTTCCTTCGTGTTGAAACCCTCAAAACTGGCTGAGGAAGGTCGCAAGACGGTGATAAAAATATCTCCAATACAGGGGTCCGCAACAGCCACGTCCCACAGTATTAAATAAAAGGGAATCACTGAACTGAAATATCGTAGGAGGTGTTCGAAAAGTCCGCTGGTGACATTTATTTCCCTAGAGCAGACATTAAACCAGTGGCGGCTGGTGGGAGTGGGTTGCGGGGCTTCAGCCCCCCTCCCAATTCTCGACAGAATTATTTAATTTCTTTTTGATATAAAAAAATATATGTGAAATAGTATTTCATTCAATTACTTGACAAATATAGCCCCCGCTGGTGCGTGTGCAACTTGCAAAAAACTTCCGCCGTGTCTGTGAACAACACTAGCGGCTAAACCGTTAAACTGATTTTCTCCAAAATCGATATTTCCAATCGATCTGACTGATGTCGCGGCCACTTGAATTTGAAACCGATATTTTAATTTTTGGGGGTACTTCGCATGGAGCCCCTGGGACTTTCTCAAAATGTTCTACAAAAAAATAGCTCCATCAATTTTAATTAAATTTCATTATTGTATAGTACAAATGGCGTTTAAGAGAATGAAGATGGTCTCATTTTTATTCAAAAGCCTGATTTTTTTACCAATACAAAAGTTTAAAGTTTCTCGGAGTCTACGTAAAACTAGCATATTGATGTTAGATTGGTTCCGTAGAGATAGATTTTTCGAAAATCTGAGTACTTTTCGCGTAGTTTTGCGTGAAAATTCGGGCGAGAAAGTATGTACTGTTTAGCATCATTAATTCCCGTGTTCAGAATGGATACGAATAGCAATTCTGTTCAATATTTAAAATATGTGAGATTTAGAAGCCTTAATATTTTTAAAGAAATGCGATATAAAGGTTCGCGGTAGACCTACACTGGTACTGCACATATTTCAGTACGTTTTCTATTTTTGCATGTAGACCCCCATTAATTAAAGGTACCGGCCGTCATTGCATTTGAAACCTTTGTTGGTAGAGGACTTTCACCAAACATGTGAACGGACTACTAACATTTCTTGATATGGCAATTAATACGCGTCCTCGATGAGACTAAAGGCAAAAATCTATTATATTCAATGTAATTAGATATTAGTTATAGATAGATATTAGTTAGTACATATATATATATATATATATATATATATATATATATATATATATAGTACAATAGATATTAGTTAGTACAAGAGATTTGTTCGTTTGAAACTGGCTGTGTCAAAGTTTGATGCTGAAGGACCTATTGGAAGATGATTGAGAGTGTCAATTTATGTACAGCCATTTCATAATTCTGGACAATTTGTTTGTTTTACTGAAAATATTATCAAATGCATCAACTGAGTAATCAAAATACCTTCAAGAGGTTAACTTTAATACACATACAAACAAGTGTGACATTAGAATTTGGCACGACTAAAAGAAAATTCACCCATGAAATAATTTCAACCTAATTCTTCATTTATAACTGAAGTTCTCTGTGGGTTTTTTCACCCTAGTGGCTAAAACACAAATTTTCATCCCAATATTTAATTGGTCTCGAAAATTAAATTTGCCAGTGTGGCAAATAGTTTATCTTCCTCTAAAAATAGGTCCCTTTTGTTGTGTTTGAATTGTTTGTCTTTTGTACGTACGCAAAAACGGATTTCTCGAATTTGTTTCCTAATCAACTTGCATCGCTTAACCATTTCGATCTTTTGGTTACTATTCACATCGTTAGAAATAATGTAACGATTGTGTAAAATAAAAACGTCTATTATTTTTCTGTGTGTCTTTGCCATTTAATTTAACGAACAGAGGTCTTGGAATATTTTAATTGCTGGAAATAATTATATTGAAATAAAACTTAAAATGAAAAAATGTATTTTGAGTACGATATAAATCGACAAAAATGAAAATAGGAGTATATCTTATAATCATGTTATGTGCCAGATACATTACCTAAGTTTTCACATTTAAATTTGTTTAGAAAATTTATACATTGCTCAATAATTTCAAATGTGTATAATCTGTATTACTAATTGTCAATACGCACAAAAACGTAAAGAAAAAAAATGCAATCTCCGCCCTTTTGAGAAGTGTGTATGGTTTTATTACATTGCCAGGATCACGAGAAAATCCAAACACAATGAGACCGCTTCAATTTTTACTGAAGAATGCAAATATTTGATTTTGAAATTCAATTGTGTCTATTCTCATACTGCGTGTACTGACTGAAGGTGACTCAAGATAGCGACTGCCCACAATTAAATATTTTTTGTTAACGTGATGAGACATGAAACAACATTGTAATTTCCGTGAATATGAATAAAATGTTGTACATTTTAAATACCATGTTAATGTAGTATTCTTGGAGATAATTTTGTTAAAATGTTTAATTTATTCCAGTGTTAAATGAGAGAATTTTATTTGCTGCTCTTGAGCAGAGTCGCTCGCATTTTGGAAAACCATTTTGTTTACGCAGCATTTTTTCAGGCTGTTAGTTATATAAAGTGGAAATAAGTTTAAAATAGTATATGGAACGATTAATACGCACGCGTATTAGAAGAGAAATTACATCAAATTGTGGGTTTCAGTTCAGACTTACACATCATATCTCTTCATATCACAAATTGCAGAAATTATACAAAAAAATGTAAGGAAAAAATGTAACGTATATGTGTCTTTGAAAAGTTTACAAAAATCTCAGTCGCCACCATTTCATTGCATTTTTCTGTGAAAATAGTTTTAATGTTTGATATTCTCGCCATGGTTTAAAATTCGTACTTCAATAAGTTGGTATTGTTTGACCCACCAAGTAGAAGGTCGTTTGCAGTGTGTCGTAGAAGTGATAAGCATCGGTTAGGCAACGCAAGAAAGAAAGAAATTACCTGGAACACGAAGGCGCCGAGGATGGTGTATCCAACCACGAGCCCGATGATGCCCACATTGCTGAACATGAACGCGATGAACTGTCGCAAGAAGTCCTTGATTTTCTGACCCAACGACTTCTGTCGGTAGCGGTACCGTCGAGAGCGCTTCCTCTCCATCGCTCTCTACCGCTGCTCCTGCCGCTCTCTCAGCAGCTGCTGCAACAGCTGACTGCGCGCTCTCCCCAGCCGCTGATCCCGCAGCTGCTGAAGCGAGCCTTGAGCCCTCTCCCCCTGGAACGGCACCTCCCGCTGCTCCAGCAGCTGACTCCGGTTGGCTCCTCAACCCCGTACCACCTGCGCCCTTCGAACCTCCAACAGCAGTTCCCGCTGGACCCACCCCAGCTGAACACCCTGAGTTCCCGAACGCTCCCCTCACCCGACCGGCGGTCGCAGCCGCCACAGCCCCGCTTGCAGCTCGCGGAGTCACTGATTTGGCGGCAGCTGCCCTGACCCCGCCTCCAGCACGGTCTGCGACAGTTCCTGCCCCACGGACAGCGCCGGCGCTGCGCCCCCGCGGCCGCCGAGCCCTCTCCGCGCAGCGCAGTGCAGCAGCCCCCTGCACTCCAGCAGCCGCGCGCATCACTCAGCGGCGCGTGGCCGGCCGCCGACGCCGCGCTCGCCCTCTCCAAGGCCGCCGGCGGGGGCGCCGCACGCCACCGCCGCTTGCCGGCGCCACCGTCGCGCCGACGCCGCCGGCACAGCCGCGCCCGCCTCTGGGCCGCGTCGAAGGCGCGTGTGTAGTGTCTACCGCCGCCGCCGCCGGCCGCCCCTCTGTCCAGCGGCTTCGGTCGCGGTCGCACTTTTGAAAACGAACCAAAGCCGCTTCTGTTCTCCGCAACGTCCACACGCCGTCCCAGCAAGTTCCTTAAAGTTCGCACGGGGTGCCGAATACAACGCGAAAGACACCTAAAGAAATACAGATACGCGGTATTTATAGAAGACAATACCGCGTGTTTGACGGCAAACAACGAGTCAATTGGTTCTAAAGATACTTTGTAGTTCGGGGAAACGTTTTCACAGAACGAAGATCCTCTTCTTGAGGAGTTCGACGCGCACACAGACAACCAGAAGTGGCGCGGAACACGCGTTCTAGTATTTCGCCGAGAACCGTCGCGCTTTCTCCGGGCGAGCGGGTGCTCGCGCAGTTGGTGCCCCAGCCGCAGGAGCAGCGCCAGCAGCAGCAGCAGCGGTCGCGGGAGGGCGGCGCCGGCCGCGCGCATGGGCGCCTGTTGGCGCGCCCCGCCCTCAGCGGCCGCGGGCGGCCCCCGCCCCGTCAGCCACCGACTGCACGACGCGGCGGCGCCCCATGCTTCCATACTGGACGCTCTCCTTGGCTCCCCGCCGGCGCCGACATTACATGGTCCCGGCGGCCGTCAGCGTGGCATGGCCCTCGACCGCGCGCCCGACCGCTCACCGCCTGCGAAGCAACCAAGCAGATATTCACTCTCACCACTGTTACTCTCATTACCACTATTCTAATAATTATTACTATTAATGATTATATTGTTAACTAGTACGTCAATTTCTATGCAATTTGTCCAATTAGGTTGGAGTATATTGCTCCAATTCCGCTAGATATGAAATCAGGCGCCATCTAACACGTTGTATAGCGATGCCCTCCATATATCTTCGCCAGCAGGGCACAGTCCCAACCGAGATAAGCATTTCCAACTGTCCTCCCAACATGCGTGGTAGTGTAGTGCTTGTGTGTGTCTGCGTGGGAGAGGATAGGACAAGGAAGACAAACGGAAGATTGCGCGCGGTATTCGCCAGGTATTAATCGGAGAAACCGTAGAAAAACTACCAGCGTCCAGCGTCTAGAGTTATCCTCTAGACAACGACTGAATTTGCTTTATTGTCAGTGAAAAAGATTCACCACTGACTTGTCTGGAACTTTAAGACCTGCCGGTTCTGTAACAGCAACCGTTGTTGCCCGAGCTATCTCATCCGGTATTAATGATTATTATTATTATTATTATTATTATTATTATTATTATTATTTCGTACGGCCATCTGTTACCTGAGAACTCCAGGTCCCATAAGAGCACTGTATGGAGCGCTTTCCGCAGACGGAGCAACAGACAGAATCCGAACCAAGAGCAACTGAATTCCAGACAAGAAGTGCGGAATGAATCTGCCCGCGCATTAAAAGATACATTTTTTAAATTTTCCAGCTTGAAAAGGCTTAAAAAGTGTAAATACCTGAAGTACCTTTCGGTAGAGCGAAAACAAGTAAATTTTGCCTCCTCGATACGTGTAGTACGAACACCAGTACTCGTACATATATTTTAGGAGGAAGTTTAAGTGTTACGTAAATGTATATCAGACGAATCAAACATCCACTTATCTCGAAAGAGGTTAAAAATAAAACCAAAATATCAAAATTACGAAATGGCTTACGATGAGTTACCTTATCTCCCTAGGAATCATAAAATAAAGATTTAAACACAAGGAATTTCGAAGACTCTCATATGAGCTGACCCAGGAATCCTTCTTCATAGAAAACCCAAAACTCCAACTTCAACTACCACTGACCAACACGACGTTCAACAGGCGATATGCAAAAAGCGAGCTGAAATAGACATCATCTGGACATCCACCAACAATGAATTGAGAAGCCTAATCAACAGAACAGCAGCACACTACTTCCATCACACATTAGGCACGAAGAAAAACCCCATGGATATCCTTAATGAGCAATCTTTATTCACGTAATGAAAGATACAGAATATTTCGCTACATTTTAAAAATAAAATATAAAGTATTATCTAAACGAATCACGTTAAAATATATTTTATAACACATACAGTAACGGGAGTGATACGTTGTGATAATTTTTGCTACAGTGGTTTGCGGAGTGTATTTACATTCCACAGAAGAAACATTGACGCGTAAGAAGCCCATTACGAACGCCTGATTGCCCGGTTTGCTTTCGCTTTTATAAATCTCGCGCCCAGACGAAGAACCGGGCGGAGGAACACAAATCCGAGCGCAGACGCACAATCGCTGGGAATGCGGTGGAGTAACCCCGCGCGGAGCATATTCCTGGCTCTTGGATTCCGCATCAAGGGGGCTGTGGTGATGCAGTGCTTCGGCTGCGGTCCCCAAAGGTCAAAAGAACAAAGTGTGCAATATACAAAATTATGAAAACCGTTACCTTGGCAACTCCTAATTATTTATAGTATTGATAAAGAGAAGCATTCAGGCCTTGCGATAGACTATTAAGACGGGTGAGAAGAAGTTTTGCCGAATGTGGATTGCCTGAACGTTATAATACTACAGAAAGTTACAGCTAATGGAGCATTATTATTATTTTGCTTTACATCTTCAAATAGCATTCAATAACTTTTTTAAAAAGTCTGAAAATTAATCAGATGATCAAATTTTTATTTTTTTCTTAATTTCTTATCAATTGTACACAATACAAGTCAGCATGGGTACGCGTGATTGAAATATTTGCCGTATCCGTTTAAGCTTAACAGTAAAATTAAAACCAATAAGTGGATTCGAAAACTTAAGTCTCTGTCTTGAAAAATATCTACTTTTTACTTATAATCCTCTTTTCCGTGGAAACGATAGACATTATTGGCTAATATAAATGTAGTCTCTCCTCAGGGTCACAAGCTGGAAGGAGAGACATCCAATCAAAACATTGTCATCCAACCGGGAGCTTCGTTAGCACGTCCTTTCTACAGCAAGCTGGCAAGGTCGCAACTTGAGGACGATATAACGTCATATTCATCACCATCATCATATGTTCGATTTGGTATTGAAGCTCCCGATTGGATACCCTCTCCTTCCAGCTCGTGGCCTTGAGGATGTTCTACATTTAAATAGAACGCTGCTGCGTGGAAATAAAAGCCGAATCGAGGCGATAGCTTCTAACACGAAGCGCGCAGCTTTTGGACCTTTGAGTTGGTGAAGAGAGCAGCGTGCGGCGAACCGGGGCGGCGAGCAGAAAGAATGCGGCGGCGCCGGGCGAATCCTCACCCTCACGGGGTGGGGTCGGGGGAGGGGGAGGGGGAGATTCACAGCAATTAAATGCACAGCTTGGATCGCGCCGCCGAAGATACGCGGCGGGTGGGGTGGGGTGGGGTGGAACTCGCGAAATTCTCGAGCCGCGTGGGCGCGAAGAGCAGTCGTTCGGCCGCCGCCGACCCGTTCACCCCGAGCTGGCTCGCTCCCCTTCCTGCGCTGCAGGAGTTCTATCAGGGATGCCCTCCACATGCGGCTCGCGGTGCCAATTACTGTGGCCACCGATAGGTTATTAGCAGAGCTCGGATTCTGTCCACATGTGTTTTCATTGCTGCATTCTAGACGTGGCTGACTTGTAAATTAATGTTTATGATGGCTTTTAGGTGAAAGAAATGTATAGTTATTGGGTCACTTATTGTCATTCATTTTATTTGCATTAGGAGGATTATTTGTTTTATTTGGAACAAGTTGCTATTGAGATATTGAGTCATCCTACTAATTAGATTTCCCCTCTGTCCATTGTGCCGAAGAATCTATGTAGAAAACGATTAGTGAGCTCACACTTTTAAATTAAATTATAGTAGTGTTCGTTCTGAAGTTGATACTTCCAAGTGGGTGTGTCTCAAAGAAAATGTGTTGAGGTGGTTCAGTTGCCTCGGTCAACAAACACAACCGCACGCGATGCTCTGCGTATTTATACTGTTCATTGCCTAGGCTTGAAAGCAATCAAGAGCTCCTCCATAGTTTAACAGGTTGGGTGGAACTCACCTTGTCACAAAGGACATAAAGCGTTAGATTTTTAAATTTTAATTTTTTAAGATAAACAATGTCATACACTTGAAGTTTCAAAATGTTTAAATAGAAGTATGTACATTTCTATTTAAATGAACATTAAACCTTCCATGAAAAGCTTTTACTGCGCGCAACTGAGAGCTTTTCCAAGAACTTTGCTCCCCCGCCTCACCTCTTACTCCCTCTTGCATTCTGGGATTGGCCGGCGAACACCGTTTATTAACATGAGTCATTCGCGTACTCTTTCTCTGAAGGCCCTTATCGCCACTCCCAGAGATTTGCAATGTTAGCAAAAACGCTCCGCTGCCATCCGATCGCAGTCATCAAGTATTGTTTAGCAGTGTGTCTCG